CAAGTTCCCCCATGCTGGCTGAGGAATCCTGGGAGTTGAAGTCCGCCAGTCATAAAAGGGCCATAGTCCCCCCATGCTGGCTGAGGAATCCTGGGGGTTGAAGTCCGTGAGTCATGAAGGGCCCAAGTTCCCCCATGCTGGCTGAGGAATCCTGGGAGTTGAAGTCCGCGAGTCATGAAGGGGCCCAAGTTCCCCCATGCTGGCTGAGGAATCCTGGGAATTGAAGTCCGTGAGTCATGAAGGGGCCATAGTTTCTCCATGCTGGCTGAGGAATCCTGGGAGTTGAAGTCCATAAGTCATAAAAGGGCCAAGTTTGAAGACCCCTGGTCTAGTGGTGGCCTAGAAACCAAGCAACTGTGAGTTCTAGTCCTGCTGAACAACAACTTATTGGGGCCGGCCTAACCTCATCTCTGCAACAGCAAGGACTCCAAATGAAATATGAGATACATCCAGCAAGTCTCTTGGCAGCCACTCCAAACAAGACGAAAACCTCCATGGAGTCTCTCACAGCTGAGCTGCAAACACACTCAACAAGCACTCCCACAGTTCCCACATGTAAACAAACAACAACTCCAAGCAATATTTGGAGCAAAGCTTGCGTGCTTTCGATCACTGGACGGCGGTTATGTCTGCTGCCCGGGTTTTTCCACCGTGTGACCCCCATGGAAGGAACAGGCTCCAGTTATTTGTGTGCTTATACAGTATTTTCTTGGTGCAACAAAAAAAAAAAAAAAGAGGGACGGGGGGGAACGCTTATTTCCAAAATACTATACCAGGTAGTCCTTGACTTACGACCACAATCGAGCCCGATGTTTCTGCTGTGAAAAGTGAGACGTTTGTTAAGCGAGTTTTCAACCCATTTCACGACCATGGGGATGCTGCAGCGGTTGTTAAGTGTGAAAAGTCTATGGAGATTCTGAAGAAGCTTCCTGTTATAAGAAGCGAAACATCTTCAGAGAAAAACAAGGAAGTCCAGTTGCCTCGGGGAAAAAGCACCTTCGGGATAAAGGGCGAAAACTGGTCGCATTTTTCGGTGCCACTGTAACTTTGAACGGTCACTAAATGAACTATTGTAAGTCGAGGACTACCTAAAGTCACTTTTTTTAATATAAATTTTATTAGTTTTTATAGGGTTAGGGATAAAATGGGCTCAGGATTAGGATTGAGGTTAGGGTTAAGGTTGGGTAACATTTTCAATATTTAACAAACAGCATATTGTTTGGGTACATATGTTTAAGTAACAACAATAGATACAGTTAATTATCATATACAGTATTAATTAATCACTCTGTAGCCTTCTTCTTACTGATATATATTCAAAATTACATATCACATTCCTTTCTCTCTGACTCATTTTTCCAGCCACTGGTAAAAGTTATCCCATGTTCTAAAGTTGACTGAGTCTCCTTTCTCTTTAATCTCTAAAGTCAATCTATCCATTTCTGCCCACTCTAGAATTTTCTTAATTAGTACTTCTTCAGTTGGTAAGTTTTCATTTTTCCAATATTGGGCAAATACCTGAAGCTACTTCTAATGTGACTTTGAATTTTGAAATCTCCAAAAAAGAAAAATTGACTGGGCTTAATAGTTCTCCCAGCGTGGCTTACTACTCTGTTTTATCTTCTTCCCACAAAGGTTCGTATGTGAAAATTAGTGATGTCTAGGGCAGGGGGTCTTCAAACTTGGCAACTTTTAAGACTTGTGGACTTTGACTCCCAGAATCCCTGAGTAAGCTCTGAGAGTTGAAGTCCACCAGTCTTAAAAGTTGCCAAGTTTGAAGACCCCTGGTCTGGGGGGGGGGAATGGCTGGGGCAGGGGAAATGGGAGAAAGCAAAAGAAAGGACTCATATCATTACCTGAAAAGCCTTAAGACACAACCATCAGCACAGGCCCCTTGTTGTCATTCACGCATAACAAGGCGAGAACAGCCCAGATAAGGCGGTTTAGACCAGGAGGAAGGAAGCTTACCAAGATCCAAATCTGGCTCTTGGTTCTATTTCCATGCGTCCTTTCGGTTTATAAAACAGCATCTTTCACTCAGGTTGAAAGGCAAACTTAAGTGGCTGGGTGTTTGTTTGTTTTTTTAAGCCACAACTGCTAAGTACTAATAGATACCATTTTATCTTCTTTATGTCTCTTGCTTGCCCTGAAGGTGGTACTTTGACAAATCACAACAAAAGCTATGCAAAAGAGGGAGATTAGAAATCAGGGCTGGTTCAAGCAGGAATCTCTTCTGAAACTTTGGCTTTGGGGCAAACTTTTTCCAAATTTGGGGAGGTTTCCCTGGCATTTCAGTTGCCCTAGGCCAGGGGTAGGCAACTTTGGCTCTTTTATGACTGGTGGACTTCAACTCCCAGAATTCCTGAGCCAGCCATGCTGAGGGGAAAGGGAGAGGTTTCCAAGCTGAGCCATGCTGGCTGAGGGATTCTGGGAGTTGAAGTCCACGAGTCATAAAAGAGCCAAGGTTGCCTATCCCTGGCCTAGATGATAGATAGATAGATAGATAGATAGATAGATAGATAGATAGATAGATAGATAGATAGATAGATAGATAGATAGATAGATAGACAGACAGACAGACAGACAGACGATAGATACACCTAGATCAGGGGTAGGCAACCTTAGCTCTTTTATGACTCGTGGACTTCAACTCCCAGAATTCCTGAGCCAGCCATGCTGAGGGGACAGGGAGAGGTTTCCAAGCTGAACCATGCTGGCTCAGGAATTCTGGGAGTTGAAGTCCACCAGTCATAAAAGAGCCAAGGTTGCCTACCCCCACCCTTGGCCTCTTTCCCCTCCCTCCAACAAAATATTGTGGACCCGACTGATATTAATAGATGTGTGTTCTTTTTTTTAATAGTACAGAAAATCTAGCCACTGCCAACACATCAGTCTTATGAGTTATGCGATGTCTGCTTGGTCCTTTTCAAATATTAAATATGAGAGGCCTGCACGAAACAGAAAAAAAATGGGGGAGAATCTGACAAACCATTTTCAGATATTGACGGTTCGACAGAAATGAAAAGAAACACTGGCGGCTGTTTCTGGATTTCAGATAAGACAAAATAAAAACCCAGACAGGAACAAGTAAGCTTGCTTGGCTCTTCTCTGCCTTGTACAATTCCCAAGGCAGCCTAATCGGACATCCGGCCTGCTCCCATTTTTCTTCCCGTTAGTAGCTGCAGCTGAGACTGTCGTAACACATCCCTCTGACCACATCCACGCTCTTTTTCTCTCTCTTTTCTCTCAGTGACAGGTGTTCCTCTTGTTTCCTGAATTTAAACTGCCTGGCACGAGTAACCCTGTTTTGTTTGGTGCATAGGACTGTGGGAAGTCAGCTCCCCAGAGAAGGAAATATTAAAAGGGCAGGAAAATATATTTCCTCAAAAGATCTTAAAGAGGCAGAAAAGCAGGCCCAGTTTTTCTTTAATAGCCCCCAGGCCTCCCTCCCCTGAGCAGAAACCAGCTCTATAGAAATGTAGATATAAACCATCCAGGAAGGTTGGAAGCCCCCAACTAGAAGCTTAGGAAAACAAAGACTCCTAAAATCTACATACCCCACCCAAACTCTAAGACAGGACATAATAGGATTAACACACAGATGCCAAAGGGCACACTCAGATTCAGGTCAAAGTTCATGCCACAGGATCAACTCTCCAAACAAAAGGCTCCAGAGGGTATAAAAACCCACTCCCTACATGTGCTCTCTCTCTTTTCTTCCAGAGCCATCTTTCTGTCTGGCTCTCCTCTTCAATAAACTGCAACCTTCTTCCTAAAGCAGTCGCCATGTTTATTCCCAGCTTGGACTGAACCACAATGAAGACTTTTCTTTCAACAGGACAAAACTGCTCATCTGACTCACAGAACAAAATGGACCCCGTTTCATTCAGAAACAGAACGCCTAAAACACGCACGTTTCAATTCAGGCAGAGAGTAAACCAAAATTAGTGCTTCCGGGAGCAGAATAGTTTTATGCATTTTTCACATGTGGGGTCCCAGGTGCTCTCTGAGCTTGGTGGTTTTCTTGTAGGTGGTTCATTACCCAAACGAGGTTAACATCATTTGTGCTAAAAAGGAGTGGGGTTTTGGTCTTTTGTTTATATATATAGTTGGTTTGCTCTCTTAGGCTGAAATCAAGGAACTAGAAAGAAGAAAACAACACTCCACAAACACTGACAGAGCAAGCCACTAGACTAGTATATAAAAAGATAATAATCCTCATTCCTTTTCTAGCACCGATAATGTTACCTAGTTGGGTCATGAAACGTCTGCAAACAAACAAACTCAGAGAGCACCAAAGACCCCACAGTTGCTGTCCTCCTCCACTTCACAAACCCCATTCCCTTCCAGCACTGATGATGTTACTTAACGTGGTAATGAAATATCTGCAAGAAAACCACCAAGCTCAGAGAGCATCAAGGAACCCACAATCCCCCCCTCCTCCTCCCTCTTCTCCTGCTTCCCTTTTCCACTTCCTTTTTTCCCCCCTACACTTCCCAAATCCCACATTCCCTTCTAGCACTGATGTTGTTACCTAGTACAGTAATGAAACATCTGAAAGAATCAAGCTCAGAGAGCATCAAGGACCCCATAATCACCCTCCTCCTCCCTCTTCTCCTGCTCCTTTTCCCCTTCCTCCGCTTTCCCCTCTACTCCCCCAAACCCCACATTCCCTTCTAGCACTGATGATGTTACCTAGCACGGTAATGAAACGTCTGCAAGAAAAGAACCAAGCTCAGAGAGCATCAAGGACCCCACAATCATCCTCCTCCTCCTCCCTCTTCTCCTGCTCCTTTTCCCCTTCCTCCACTTTCCCCTCCACTCCCCAAACCCCACATTCCCTTCCAGCACTGATGATGTTACCTAGCACGGTAATGAAACGTCTGCAAGAAAACCACCCAGCTCAAGAGACCACCCAGGAGCCCACAGTTTCAACCCTATTCTCTTCTACCGGTTACATTTTTCACACACCCGTTAAACGTCCCTCTTCATACGCTCACCATGACTTGGGCTCTCCAAACTGCAGGTAGTTGATGCTGTAGAGATCCATGTCCTCCGTGTGCCAGGCAAACGTGGTCTTCCACATCCCAAAGTAGAGGTAGGGGGTGTTCACGCCTTCTATGATAATCCCACACTGATGCTCCACCATGTCAAGGAGAGTGTTCAGGTTCCCAATGTTCCACTCTTCCACATCCTGGGGGTGAAAATAAAGGCAGGTGTCAAAGGAGGAGCCGGCACTCCTTCCATTCCCGCACGGAAAGGGGCCGCCGGCGGTCACTTTTCACAGGCAGCGTCCGAAGGAAAAAACCTCTGGCAGGAGCAGCTATTCCAAAGAGCAGGATACAAGACGCGTAACGGCCCTCTGAGCGGTCCTGAGAAGAAAACAGGCTAAGACACGCTCTATTACACGGGCTCCCGCCGGCTGTCTAAAACCTGTTTGCCACAACTTTTAAGATTCGGTTCACAGGTGGAGCCAAAATGAAAGGGCTTTTCTAAAAATGACGTGGAGAAATCAGTACAAGAGGGAGCAAAGAGAGAGAAAGACTCTGACTGAAAGCCAGCCCAGCGCAGTTTACGCCAACTGAGCCCAACATTTCTGTGGCTAAGAGAAACATTTGTTAAGTGAGTTTTGACCCATTTTACGAATTTTCTTAATAATAATAATAATAATACTAGTAGTAGTAGTAGTAGTAGTAGTAGTAATAGGCTCCTTGGGTGCAATCCCAAAACAACTGGAGCACCACTTGAACACCATTGGCATTGACAAATTCGCTATTAGTCAATTGCAAAAGGCAGCCTTACTAGAAACTGCTTCCATCCTGCGACGATATCTGTAATACCATCAAACATCCACATCTGCCTATCCCAGGTCCTGGGTAAGGACTCGATAGGTAGACAAAATGCCAAATCCAGTCTGAACATCTGGCTGACTGTGCGATGATCCATCATTATCATCATCATCATCATAATTGGAAGGGACCTTGGAGGTCATCAAGTCCAACCCCCTACTCAGGCAGGAAACCCTATACCCTTTCAGACAAATGTCTGCCCAGTTTCTTCTTAAAAGCTTCCAGTGTTGGAGCATTCACCGCTTCTGGAGGCAGGTGGTTCCACTGGTTAATTGTTCTGTCAGGAAGTTTCTCCTTAGTTCCAGGTTGCTTCTCTCCTTGGTCAGTTTCCATCCATTGCTTCTTCTTCTGCCTTCAGGCGCTTTGGAGAATAGCTTGACTCCCTCTTCTTTGGGGCACCCCTTAGATACTGGAACACTGCTAAGTTCTTCCTTAAAAGGCCCTGTCCATGTAATCCCTACAAATCTAAAATCAGTTTCAGAGCCGTTTACAGGTAGTCCTCGACTTATAGCTATTGATTTAACATCTGTTCAAAGTTACACTAGCATTGAAAAAGTGGCTTATGACTGGTCCTCGCTTTTATGGCGGTCACACAATCAAACTTTGGGCACTTGGCAACCAGCATGTATTTACAATAGTTGCAGCGTCCCAGAGTCACCTGATTGCCATTTGGGACCTTCCCAGCTGGCTTCCGACAAGCAAAGTCAGTGGGGAAAGCTGGATTCGCTTAACGACCGCAGGCAAGAAAGGTCATAAAATCGGCTGTGACTCGACCACAACTTTGCTTAGCAGTGGAAATTCTGGTTCAAATTGTGCCTATAAGTTGAGGACTCTTTGCTACTTCCAAACAAGTAACCCCACAGCCCCAATTTTGTTGGAAGAAATTATACCGGGGGTCTTCAAACTTGGCCCTTTTATGACTTGTGGACTTCAACTCCCAGAATTCCTCAGCCAGGCACGCTGGCTGAGGAATTCTGGGAGTTGAAGTCCACAAGTCATAAAAGGGCCAAGTTTGAAGACCTCTGAATTAGAAAGGGCTGACTCATGTATGAGGCTACACTGATTGGTTGCTGTGGGTATGAAGGGGGTGTTTCCCTTTTCCCCCGCCTTTTATCCTCTGTGTGTTCTGTACACTATTTGATTTACCTCAGGATATTCCTATGTGCCCGACTATCTTGTGTTTTTCCTTTCTGGATGATGATAAAAATGTAAACTTAAATGTGCCTGGCTGAGGAATTCTGGGAGTTGAAGTCATAAAACGAAGTCATAAAACGGCCAAGTTTGAAGAGCCCTGAATTATACATACTGACAGCAGTAGTCCTCAACACTCCCGTTACTTTATTAATTCCCCCTGGGGTTCTCCTAGAATTTAACCTGTTCTAACGTTGTCTAAATCTGCATCGTACACACGCTCTCATCTGACTTACCGCATCATACAAGGAGCCACTGATATCCGCCCCGTATATAGGGGACACAAAAGTCAAATTCTTCCAGTATTTGCGTTCCAGATCATCAAAATCCTGATGACGAGGAGTACAGTACCTGGTCAGGAAAAATAAAATTAAGACAACTGGCAATAAATCTTTGTAAAGCAGAGTTTCCCCCTCTGATGCCCTACTAAAGGTAGGACAATTTAGTCAGTTCACTCTGAACAGAGAAAAAACGCCGCTTTTTCAACTCTATTCTACAAAAATGATGCTGACGAATAGTCAATAAGAGCAGTGGAGAAGGCAATGCGGAAGCAGCTCAACACGACACATGTGCCTCTCTCTCTCTCCATCCATGCAACTATCATCTATTATCTTATGTATCTGTCTGTCCATCTGTCTGTCTGTCTATGTCTATCTATTATTGTTCTATCGTCTATCTACTCTATCTATCTCTATCATCTATCTATCTATCTATCTATCTATCTATCTATCTATCTATCTATCATTTATATCTGTCTATCTGTCTATCGTTCTATTGTCTATCTACTGTATCTATCTATCTATCTATTATCTTTCTAACATTCTATCGTCTATCTACTGTATCTATCTATCTATCTATCTCTATCATCTAGGTCTATATCATCTATCTATCTCTATCATCTAGGTCTATCTATCATCTATCTATCTATATCTATCATCTAGGTCTCTCTCTCTCTCTCTCTCTCTCTCTCTCTCTCTCTATCTATCTATCTATCTATCTATCTATCTATCTATCTATATATATATATATATATATATATATATATATATATATGTCTCTATCTATGTATCATTTATTTATATACCTCTATCTATCTATCTATCTATCTATCTATCTATCTATCAATGTATCATTTATTTATATCTATCTGTATCTGTCTGTCTATCTATCTATCTATCTATCTATCTATCTATCTATCTATCTATCTATCTATCTATATCATCCACTGTATCTATCATCCACTCTGTCTATCATCTATCTGTCTGTCTGTATACTTTTACTGCAAAAAGACAAAAAAGAATCCCCAGGCCTTGTTTAATTATAAGCCAGGACAGTCTTAAACCAAGGACGTACTTCTCACTATTAGCCAAGCGACGATAGTCTCCAACCAGCATGGGTTTCTTCTGAATGTTGTACTGGGTGAAAAGCCCGGACTGGCCAGTCACCACCTGCTGAATGGGAGCAGGGATCACCATGCTGTCGATGTCGTCGTAAGTCTTGCGGGGCTTCCATTCCTTGGGAGGGATCACCTGCAAAGTCGGGGGAGAATTTTTTCTTGAATGGATCACGTTTCATGGGAACAAACGACTCTTCCCTTCTGAATAAAAGAACAACAACTATTTACATCTCCTTGAATTCCTGTTTCTAGCACCCAAGTGCATTTTACTCTAGATTCTTAACCAAAAACTCAATTTGTTTCAGAAATAAGATCTCTTTGGAATCTGCGATATTGCCTCCAGTGTTTGGGTTGGGCTTTTGAATGCATTTGCTGCCTTCTTCCTCTTATAATCTGTGTTCCTAATTTTATTCATGTCTTAAAATGTCTAACTATCTTAACAGAATTGAAGGAAGGAAGGGAGGGAGGGAGGGAGGACCTAACTTATATTGATCTGACAGAACCTTGTCAGTATTTTACACTACTAGATAACTGTTAATTACCTATAAGCAATTGTGTCTAATATACCTGTTTGAATATGATCGATAAAAGATCCTATATTCTTTCCTCTTAACTATACAGAATTGGAGCTATTGTTCCAAATGAAATAGAATGAAGGTGTTGACTTTTACTGACACAATTTATTTTATAGATGGCTGATCCAGCCTAATACCCATGTCACTGCTATGATTCAGAAGGCATGTTCTCCAGGCATTACTGACTAAAAATGTATGATTCCCTCAAGTAGACTGAATTAACTATGCTAAACCTAGAAGTAAGGAGAAATTTCCTGACAGTGAGAACAATTAATCAGTGGAACTACCTGCCTCCAGAAGGGCTGAATGCTCCAACACTGGAAGTCTTTAAGAAGAGACTTGGCAACTGACTCATATTTATGACAGTTGTACTGTCCCGGGGGAATCACGTGATCCCCTTTTGTGACCTTCTGACAAGCAAAATCAATGGGGAAGCCAGATTCCCTTCACAACCGTGCTACTAACTTAACAA